GGTGTTAGAGAGGCTTTGGAGCCGGTTATGGAATTTCGGAGCGAGGTAAGTCTCCTGTCTAACTCTGTGAGGGGAAAATTACCCCTAGGTGATATGTTTGATGTGTGCTACTTGTTGTGGGGACTACGTAAGCGCGAGGTGACGAGAGCCCGAACGTAGCTACATTCATGTTATTGTACGGGTAAACTCAGGTTCACACCATGCTATAGCTGTACTATTTGAGTAGTCTCTCGCTTATTAATTCCCGTGCTTTACATTCAATTTGAGACTAGACTTGCTATTGTAGAGACTTCACGGGTTCACGATTAGTCATCAGATAATATTCCTCCTCTTACGGCATAGCTCCGGTATANTAAACCTTCTTATTCTAATGGGATCGGGCTGTTCGCCTCGGCAGGAATTTGTATTTCACTTCTTATGGGATCGGGCCATTCGCCTCGGCAGGTTAATTGATTTATCATATGGTTCGAGCCGTTCGACCCTCGGCAGTGCACAGTTTTATTATTATGTTGGATCGGGCCGTACGTCTCGGCATTTCCTATATCACATTCCCATGAAATCGTGCGTAAAACTTGGCAAGAAGCCAGTGTATTTGTAAATTCCATATTTGAATTACGGTAGCCACTTGATGAGTTTCACTATACCTATATATATGCTCCGCTTAAGGAGGGAATTTCTAATGAAGATTTTGAGTTCCTCATAAAGAGAGGGGATTTGTACCACGTGATCTATATTTGTCTATTTCACTTACTTACTCTGCTTCATATTTGCTACCTCAATATTGTACCATATGTTGTTGGACCACTAGTGAGTGTCGATGTCGACCCCTCGTCACTACTTCTCTGGGGTTAGGCTAGATATTTACTGGGTACACGTTGCTTACTTACTCATACTACACTTGCTGCACATTTTTGTGCAGGTACATATATGTCTAGAGGCCATGTGAGAGCATAGGCGTGTATACATGCGGGGACCTAGGTGAGCTGCATTTCATTTGTCGACCCGCAGCCTAAAGAGTCTCCTTCAGAGTATTTACATTTTTCATGTCCAATTTTTATTCTGGACAACAGTTATATTTTATTTTATATTCTTAGTTAATGTTCATGCACTTGTGACACCCGATTTTGGGATGATTATGGGTTGTTCTGTATTGAATTTGTTAAAAATATTATTATTTACTCTGTAAATCCCCATTCTTTACTGTTTAAATTGAAGGAAAATATGATTTTAAAAATAATAAAATAAGAACCCAATTAAGTAATTATTGTTGGCTTACCTGACAGTGGTGTCCGGTGCCATCATGACCCTTATGGATTTTGGGTCGTGACAATATTATTTTATTGGTCTATAAAAGGCAAAAGCGCTTGATTCGCTAACCATTGGTTTCCTTTTTCGTGATTTCTGCCATAATGACTGGTTAATGGCGAGAATTATAGACCCTTGTCGGATGAGTTGGCAAAGCTTTCTTCGAGGCCATTGGAAACAGGACCGGTTATACCTTCGGTAAACGCGAGGGCAAATCTGATGGTTTCTATGGATAACTTTGACATTGCTTCGGGTTAGATCATAATCACCATGTGCCGATCTTGGCTGATGGTGTTAGGCGTCAGATCGATCTTCGAGCTCGACTTCACCCGAGTACATTGTCCTCTCTCCTTCCCAGATAACATAGCATAGAATATGCAGGAAAGTCACTAATTGTCCACATAAGAGCTGCTCGCATTTGAAAGGTTTGATTTCTTGAAGCATCATATGTGTCAACTCTTGACTCCCACAATACCTTCAACTCTTCTATTAATGGTTACAAATAAATGTCAATATCATTTTCAGGAGATCGCGACCCATATATAAGCAACGAAAGCATGCAATATTCTTGTTTCATGCACATCCAAGGAGGTAAATTGTAAACCATTAAGACAACTGGCCATGTTCTATGAGATGTGCTCATGGTCCGAAATGGATTGAATCCATCACTTGCCAAGACAAGTCTCAGATTGCGAGAATGTTTTGCAAAATCTGGATGAAGGCTATCAAAATCTTTCCATGCTTGTCGTTGGCAAGATGCCTTAACTTTCCATCTTTAGACCGCTCCTCATCATGCCACCTCAATTTATATGTCGTCTTTGAGCACATAAATAACTGCTTGAGTCTAGGAATTAACGGAAAGTATCTCAAAGTTTTAGCAGCAACACGATGATCTTTTTTGGAAGGATCAAGGTCGCTATCTACTTCAGGATATTCAATGTATCGAGAAGCTCCACAAACATGGAAATATTCATCACTTTTATGATCATTCCAAAATAGCATGCAACCATTGGGACTTGCATCAATTTTCTTATAATCAAGACCTAGATTCTTTACAAAAGACTTGGCATTGTTGCAGGATAAAAGAATGTTCAACTCGGACATCGCCTCTTTCAATAACTCTAGAGGGAAGTAAAGGACTCATTGCTCCATCCATGTAGACACTTCAACAAATATAGACGGATCGTGAATGATAATTTAGAAAATCCTTTATAACCAAGATATAATTCTTGGTTTGCCTCATCAACTAAGTTATAGAATTTTTTTACATCTTCATTTTGGCATTCATAAACTCCTTCTTGTGCAACATCTCTAAATTGATCTCTAAATTGATCATTCAACAACCCATCAATGTCATCATACGAATTATCTTCATCCATATCATCATCAACATCCATTGGAATTTCCCATTCCCCATGATTAATCCATCTTGTATAACCTTTAACAAAACTGTAGCATATTAAATGATCATATACTACATTCCTTCAACACCAAGGATGTTACAACACTTTGCACACGAGCATTGAACTTCTTCGCCCTGAAGATCTCCATCAGAATAAGCAAAATCCAAAAAATATTGAACACCATCAATATACTCTTTGATGTACCTTGGTAAATCCATCCAAGCCTTGGAAGGATCATTTGAAAACCTAAAATCAATGGTGATATTAGATTTTAAAATATAGATTTATTTAAGTATTAAATATAATTAACAAATATACCCTAAAAATCAAGAGTAATTTTTAAAAATCGGTTCTTGTATAGTAATAGGCTAATAGCATAATAAACAATAAAGAGAATAAGAATCTCTTACCTAGTCATGACACTTATCTTAGGCCAAACCCAACTTTAAGTTCACCACAGGTAATCTAGTAGAGGCTTTAAAAATCATCAGATTATTCAAGATAATATTAGCAGAAAAATCATATGGCTGGATAGAAACATGTTAGGTATTACTTAACTAACCTTGTAAAGTGTATTTCACTGCTTTGCGCTCTCAAATAAAATTTGCCAATGTGTGTCTCTTCTTGATGAGGATGCAAATTGCAAAACCAACAACCTAAATTTAAGAAGAAAAAAAAATATATCACTGAACATTGATCAAAGAACCAAGATGACAATTTAGCAAAAAAATAATTAACAAAAACATTTTGAAACTTAGCAAATAAAGAAGAATAGATAAAATTAGCCAAGCTAACTAAAGCCTGCACTCTAGAATCTATAATAACTAATAGGGTCTAGTTCCCTTACAAAAGATATTTGCTAGAGAGACTAAGCAACAAAATGGGGACAATAATGATCTTTCCAACAGTTTCTTTCAAAACAAATTCATGAGGCACAAAATCAAAAAATGCCATGCATTAAACTAGATAAGCAAGTGAAACATTGAGAAACAGAAGGTGAAACATTGAGGAAATGGAAAAGCAAGAAAGGGTTTATTTTTACCAATATTGTTTTGTATATAATATTACATAAAGGATATGCAGACCGTCAAACTAAGATCAACTAATAAGGACAAAAATATTAATTAATACTAAAACCTAAACTAAACAACAACTATCTATATATATATAGAGAGAGATTGATCTACTGCAATCACCTTATTATTTCTTGCATACTTATCTAATTAGTCATTAATTACCATTTAAAAAGTCTTCAAAAGGAATTTTAGATTAATCAACAGAAATGCAATGGTCATCACATAAAAATTTTGAATAAGTTGAACTTTATTATAGATTGTTAAAGTAACAAAATATTACCTTAAGCTTTCACCTTTACTTGAGCTAGATTTTAAAAGTATAAGTGAGAATTGGAATGATAGGTGATGAGATGTATGTTTGAATAACAAAGATTAGTATGTGACTTAAATTTATTGTGTTTCTAACTCCCAGTTAACCAAAAATATAATCAGATACTCCATCTTCATGGTATTATTCTCTTTTAACTCTTCCGATTATAGAAGTTATTGAAAAAATAACACTAATACTAAAAGAAAATTAATTTGCTCTGCAACTAATTGACATACAATGAACTGCACTACTCAAGTTGAGTTGAGGATTTGTTTATATATTAAATAATTGCTACGTAATATACAATAGTTTGCATACAAAAAGTTATAAGTAGACTCTACTCAACTCTTGAAGTAGCTTATATTAACTGTGGAAAAAAAGCGCACATGGATAGGCAAAGGACATGACTGAGATATCTTTCCAAGAGTTAGAATCATACAGTAACTTGTCGTCCTAACAACTAAAATGAAACAGACATCAACAAAAAAATTCAATGAAGTTTCATATCCAAATTTGCGCTTTTCGTTGTTCTTTTGGATATTCTAACACTACAAGAAATGAGCTTATTAGTGGCGCCACCAAAAGTCAAAACGTCGCCATAAATGATCTTTAGCGACGACTCTGTAGTCGTTGAGTATACTAAGTGGCTGATACTTATCCGTGACGACCATAAATAGTCGCCACTAAATATCCTTTTTTTAGCGGCGACTTTGTCGCCACAAATGGTATGGTTTGATCTTTCCAAAAAGTGACTTTGAGAAATAATCGCCACTGAATGTTACAATTGGTGGCGACTAAGGTTTCTTTGAAAATTTAATCACTAGAAAAATAGTTTTTTAACTAAAAATAATACACAATTTATTCATATATTTATATTAACCGCCAAACAATAATACAACCCATTAATATTGTGAAATCTGAACAATAGAATCTTTTCATTGCTAAAAGGTCAACGCAACATAAAGTAGTCAATACATTATCATTGTGCGTACAAACAACAAAACACAAACAGTTTTCATATACGCCAATGTATTCTTCCGTATACAAAAAGAATAGTCAGCAAACTAGTCCAATATCTTCAAAGTACTCCAACATCTTCAAAAAACTCCTTGGGCAACTTCATTTCCCCACTGTTGAATATTTCATCCTTGCTATTAAGAAAAATAAAGACACACATTATCAGTATATGCAACATGTAAAAGGAATGCAAATTCTAAGTCAAGTACTAAAGGGGAGGTCGGATACTCACTTGACAGAACATAGTTCAAGTTCATGCATAGGGACAATTAGAAAACTAAATAACTAATTAATTGTAGTTTTTCATTATTAATGAACAAATGGAAAATGAAACGATTGACTGCATTTTCTCATAACTACCAACATCGATATTAAAATAAAAAGGACTAAAATTTTAAAGTATCTAGAGAAGAAAATTATGCTGTCTTAGTTTATTGGAATCCCTTAGACTCGGGGAGAAACTAATTGGTACATAGCACATCATCTACAAACTTATACTTGTATGGAAGAAGCAACAAGATAAAACTGATAAATATGCTATGCACCTCATGAAGAAAATACTTAGAATGCTAGGAACTTATAGTACCTTTGATAAAATCATAGCAAGGAAACTAAAATCTCTATAACGTAATTTCAAGTTCATTCCTCATCTTGACTTCCAAAAACAACTAAAGAATCTGACTTCTATGAACGTAAAAAATATTATTGGCCACTCATATTCATGCATGGAAATTGAACTCCACCATATTCTGCTTGCAAATGATAATCTAGAGGTCTTTTCACAAAAAAGTAGATAATAATAGGACCTAATGGCACCACACTTCGACAAATCTAACTCGATGCATTATAACAACAATAAACCAAAACAGGGAAAGGATCAAATGGCCTATACTTTTAGATTGCCAAAACAATGAGGGAGAAAGGCATCGGATGCCTAGCATTAAAGTGAACAGGGAGAATAAAGGTCCATATTATTTCACTGTAAATATCCAAACACCCAAGAAATACATGTTTACCTGTTGCATTCTTATCATCATCGCATCCACCTTCGCTTGGATCATTTTGTCAAATTGTATATCCATGTGTGAGTGCTTCTCTTCTAGTTTTCTTTGCAACTTAGAAGCCACTTGTTCTTGTAATTTTCTTTCCAAATCGGCTGCCATTTGTTCACGTTCTTCTTGCAATTTTCTATTCATTTCCTCTTGCATCTGTTGGCGCATACTTTCCATAGTAGAAGACATACTTGCCTCTAAGTCTACTTGTTTCACACGGCTCTTTTTTGGAGGCCTCTTTCTGTATCCTTTTCCACGAACATAGCCAGTTCGTTCACAAATACAGTGGTTAAAATCTCATCTGCACTCATTGGATACTCATTCTCTTCAAATTGTTGTTGAACCATAATTTCTTGGAGCTGACCCTACAATTATGGATAACAGTTTATACTATAAAATAGGAAGAACATTACAAAAAATAAAATACTGATGTCAGAAAATTACATGAATTTGTTGTGACTTTGGATCCGACCACACCAATTCTCCTTGGTCATTTTTACGAGTGTTTTGGAGTTCCCAAACTCGATCGGGTGCTGCCTTTGTTCTATTATCAGGATTTCTCTACGATTTATAACAACAAATGAAAATGGTTTATATTTATAACCTCATAATAACATCAATGAATTAGAAATAATTATATAGTGGTAGGGGTAAATGCATTTGTACCGTCGATTCCTCTACTTCAGCAAATGACTTTGAGCCACATGAGTGCTTAGTTATTTGTTTCCCCCTGTTTAGTTTGTTCCTCTCACTCACAGCCTGCAATTAAATAAATTCATTAAGAGCCAACATTTAAATTATAATTTATTATGCATTTTTATTATCAAGTTACCTTGAATGCTGGACTTCCAAAATGTTCTACCAGAAACACCCAATCTTCAGGTGTAATATCATCTGGCCTATGAGACAATCTCTCTTCATCAGTATCATAGAGGGAGTAGTCAGCATGCAGTCGAGTCTTCCATGCTCTAAAAAGCCTTTGCATAGTGTCGATCACAAGAGCTTGCAACACATGTTGTCGCATACCACTAGCTTCAAATTTATCCTAAGATAAATATGTAAAGCTATTGAAAGTAAATATAACGTGTGACACAAAAGTCAATTTGACATTGAAAGTAAATTGTTACCTTAACCTTCAACCACATTGCTTCTCCATGTTTTGCAATTATTGCCTGCCAATTACCATCTCTAAAAGAGATAGTGCTTCGCATAATCAAGCCACAATAGTTAACAATATCCCTAGACCCAGGACCCACGGCTCTCATAATGTCATCTGGAATGACAATAGGAATTTTACTTCCGTGCTTCGTTTTCATGTCCACTTGTAACGATTTATATTTCCCTCTGCCTTTCTTAGATTTGTTGCACGAAGTTGTGACCCAAACGATCCACATAAACCGTTGTTAATTCACTATTATCATTGTTATTTTGCTTTATAGAATCACTTTAAGCATTTAAAAAAAGCATATGGTAAGATATTTAAAAAAAAGCATATGGTAATTCACTAGTTTCAGGAAGTTTTGCTCAATAAATGTGGATGAATATTCAAAGGCTAGTTTCCAGGAAGCCAAATAGTTACCAACATGTTGAGAGGTAATAGCCAACATGTATTATTTTCACAAATCTTCATATTGCTCCCTGAAATACCAACTGAAATCATAATTCGATTTCAATAGAGAACTAATCTGGGCCACTATTTTCAATCTCCGGAGTTGGATGTGCACTTTCAACAAAAATCTGATTTGAGTGTGACTCAATCCGAAGTCCATGACGAGAGTTACTTGATCCAGATTCTATTGAAGCTTGTGTTTGCGACTGAAATGCTTGTGGCGGTGACTGTCGTTGAGATACTTGTGGCAATATTTGTCTCTGAGATACTTGTGGCTGCGTTTCTGTCCGAAATCCTCCAATGTTGCCACGTCCACGGCCCTTTCCATCCCTTCCACTTCTACCTCGTCCAATTCCTGTCATTTAATTTCCTGCAGTATCATATAAGAAGTATGAATAAAGATTCATATTTTAGCATAACCTATGCATAGTCCAGGAACTATAGAGAAATTTTAGATTGAATAAAAATATATTGAGAAAAAGAAGCCAAATATCGGATCTGCATAGGAAAATAAGCAAGATATATCAATCAAAACAGAAAAGAATAATAGAATTATTCTCTTATAAAGAGAATCAAAACCAGCAAGATATAACAATCCAAATAGAAAAGAATAATAGAATTATTCTCTTCCAAATAAGAACCACTGTTTATCTAAGTCCCACAAAAAAGTGCAGCCAAAAGTTATATAAGAAAACTCCACAAAAAGACATAAGAAATCTATTTTTTGGTCACTCCACATCACTGTCCTCTATGTCAATGTCATCTTCTTCCCTTTCTTCACCCTCTGACATATTTATATCATTGTCATTAATAAAATCATCTTCCGCATTATGCACTCTTCTGAGCTTGTTCAGTTGCATAATTATGAGTAATGCTTTGTGGATCAACATCACCCCTATGTAAAGATACCACAATATCATTTTCTTGATCATCGGTACGCAACATATTAAATTCAACTTCATCTTGTTGATAAGCTTCTTCATTCATTAATGCTTCATCATCAATCTCTATACCACTATCATCCTTTTCAGGCATATTAAAAAGGTCGCGAGTACGACTATATCCCACAATTCTTTCAACTCTTCAATCATTGTTTGTAAGTATACATCTATATCATTGCCCGGACACTTAGGGCCAGGAATAAGTAGTGTCATCATGAAATATGAAGTCTTCATGCAATCCCATGGCGGCAAATTATACGGAACGAGTAAGACTGGCCATATACTATGATTGGTACTCATGTTCCCATAAGGATGGAACCCATCACTTGCTAAACCTAGTCGAACATTTCTTAGTTCTGCTGAAAAAGTGGGATGTCGATCGTCAAAGGATTTCCAGGCCATGGAGTCCGACGGATGTCTCAAGACACCGTCATCAATACCTTCCTCTTTGTGCCATCTCATCTTTTTTGATGTCTCTCTTGCCATGTACAATCTCTGTAGTCTTGGTTTGATTGAAAAATGCCGCAAGGCTTTATGAGCTACTTTCTTACCTCCATTTTCTTTTGACTTCCATCTTGGCTAACTACACTTAGGACATGATTCGGTATTGGCATACTCGCGCCAATATAAGATACAATCGTTCTCACATGCATCAATTTTGTTATACCCCAAGCCTAAGTCTCGAAGCACTTTCTTCGCTTCATAGAATGAATTTGGTATCAATGATCCCTCTGGAATAACTTCTTTAAATAAGCTCAACAATGCATCGACAGATTTATTGCTCCAATGATTAAGAAATTTCAAGTGAAGTAGTCTAACTATATCAGACAACTTCGACACTTTCTTACATCCAGGATAAATCTCCGTTTCGGCATCTTCCAATAACTTATAGAATTTTTTTGCATGCACGTTTGGCTCTTCATTGTCCCTTGGATGACTATTCATATCCTCCATGTTCGTATACCCAAAAGCGTCATGAATCATTTCAGGAATATTATCCTCTTCAACATTTTCATCCTGTACTTCATCATTATTTGCAACATTAGAATTTTCAACTCTTATTAACACTTCTCCATGCAAGTCCCACACTTTGTAACTCTCCCAAAAGCCCTTACCCAACAAGTCTCTTCTTACTTGGATTCTTGCCTTGAATACGGTATTTCTACATCCTTTACAAAGACAACGAATCACGGTACTCACATTTGGTTGACTGTATGCCCAATCAAGAAAGTTGTCTATCCCTTCAATGTACCTGATGTCACATCTATCCTTAATATTTAACCAACTTTTATCCATATTTATTTTCTACAATAAAAAATCCAACCAATTAATAAGTAAAAAGAGTAATATGATCAATAATCAGAACAAACAAAGTTATATAGGCTTGTGTTTAACTATGCAATTCTGGCCGTGTACAAATACTAGCAAAAATACTTCTAGTAAAAAAGAATTCCAGTTCACATATATGACTATACAAAGACTCTCAACCCACATCTCATATAAGGAATAATAACTGCTACTATTAATTAGGTAGTTGCTTTACAAAATAAAATAATTTCAGTTGTTACATACAAAAAAAAAAACAATAGACACTACCTATTAAAAGGTTTAGACAGAAATTTAATTACACAAAACTACTTTTATTAGCTTAATTTTAACTTATTAATAATATTTAAAATTCAATGATAAAAAACAAATCTAGACACCCCAGCAGTAGCAAGAACAGAGAAACCAAATAAAGAAAAAAGAAAAATAAGGTGAACATAGAAGTGAGAGAATCAATAGAAGCTTTTGCTTCATAGCTTCAGCAGTAGAAGCTTTTGCCACCGGCAAAGTCGAAACATTCATCTTTGAACACAACCAAACTCGCTAATAAATTCAGACTCAAATACCCAAGATTAACCATTCATATATATAGAGATGGATCAAAAAATAAATAGGGAAAAAAAAAATCAATAAACCCACAAAACATCACAAAATTTTAGGAAATAGAAAGAGAAACTAACCCAATTTGGTGTGCAAGTAGAATTAGAAACAGGCCTAGGACATGGGTTCTTCCACGGAAATGAAAAATTTGGAGAAATCTTTGTTAACTTCTTGAATCTTGGGTATACTTAGGATTACTTTCGAGGGAAAATGAGATAAAGAGTGAAAGGGAGGACTTTTGATTCTCTGACCCAAAAGGTAGGTAAGAATTTCTTTTTTGTTCATTTTATTTTTTGTCCTTTTTGGGAGTCTTTTCATTTGTTTACCAAAATCAATGTATAGTGGCGACTAAATTGCCACAAAAGACCTTTTAGAGGCGACAAAATATAAATCGCCACAAACACTTTTGGAGCCAAACTTTTTCTGAGCCGGAAATTTTTTTCAGCCTTTTTGTGGCACATATTTGTTGCGACCTATGTAAAGTCGCTACAAAAAGTATATTTTGTAGCGATAAATAAGTCTGCCACAAAAACTATATATTTTATGTGGCGGCTTTGCGGAATCTCCTCCAAATCCCTTAATTCGGTGGTAACAAATTTAGTCGCCACTGAATACCGCCATTGAAAACCTCATCCTCAAGAAGTTTTTTCTGACTATTATCTAGTTTGTTGCTAGTTATTAAACGGATAGCAAAAATTATAAAGTTAAACGGAAAGCAAAAATTTCATAAAAAACTTACAAGTTTTTAGCAGTTGTAACCCTAAACAAACGAACTTCCCAATTGAAACTGATGTCCACCAAACCCAAATAAAGAGGGTTTTGACTTTTGAGAATAGCAATTAGAAGAAATTAAGCATCTCCATCAGCAATTATCACAAAATCTACCCTAATATTCTTAACTAGATGATTAGAGCCCGTTTTAGGGACTAATCTGCTTAACTAGATGATTAGAGCCCGTTTTAGGGAAGAAGAAGTACGGGAGTTTTCATGTAATTTGGATAAAACTTAACTTAGTGGGATATTTTTGGGCATTATTATTTTTTGAGGGGAGAAAAGATTTAGGGGAAAAGTCTTGGCGGGAATATTTAGGGAATTATTAGAGCACGCTTATATGGGGTAGCTTATACGAAGTTAAATTATCACGCTCAGTAAGCATCGTATTACATTTGAGTAAGTGTAGCCAATTATTTTGTTATTTCAAAACACTTGTAAAGTGTAGTGTTTACCCTTAAAAGGCACGCTTCATAAGCGTTGCCTAAAATCCGTATCCAAAAGTGCTTGACAAAGGCCACCCCTTATGAAGCGTCCCCACAAATACTTTTGGCAACACTTTTTAAGTGTTGTCTAAAAAAGTGTGGCCTTAGATCAAATTTGTTGTAGTGGGAATTAGGGAAATGAGGGATCGGGGTTGGGACATGAGGAGTGTTGTATGTGTGTGTGCAAAGTGAGGTGAGAAACGCAAGGGGGATGGGGATTTGGGATTGTTTATCTTTATTAAATCATATTTTTACGTTAGCTTCATTTAGTTTACTTTTTTTTTGTCTTTTATTTTAAAAGATAAATTAAATTATAAAGATAAGAAGATTAACTAACATTTCTTATAATATAGGAAAATTAAATACTTACATGTACTAAATGATACTAAGAAAGATTCCATAACTAGCTTATTAAAATTCTAATTAAAAGAAACTAAATATTTTTTTTGTAAATTTTCTTTTCTCCATACAATTAGAAATAAAATTTGTACTATAAGTATATGAACATTTTAATTTAATTTAATTAATTTGTTTTTTAAAAACAAAACCTATTAGAATCTTGGCCATTCTGCCAGCAGGGTTATCTTTTATATGAAGGCTCGGCATATGGCCGAGAAGGGGTGTCTATCTTATTTGACTTATGTCCGCGATTCTAGTGCACAGGTTCCTTCCATGGATTTAGTGCTGGTTGTTCGTGAGTTTCTAGAGGTATTTCCTGCAGACCTGCCGAGGATACCACCCGACAGGGATATTCATTTCTGCATTGATTTGGCTCCGGGCACTCAGCATATTTCCATTCTGCCATACCGCATGGGCCCGTCAGAGTTGAAAGAATTGAAGGAGCAGTTGCAAGATTTTCTTGATAAGGGCTTCATTAGACCTAGTGTCTTGTCCTGGGTTTCACCTGTGTTGTTTGTGAAGAAGAAAGATAGATCGATGATGATGTGTATAGGTTATCGGCAGTTGAACAAAGTCACCATCAAGAACAAGTATCCATTGCTGAGGATTGATGATTTATTTGATTAGCTTCAAGGTGCTAAGGTGTTTTCAAAGATTGATTTGAGATCTGGCTACCATCAGTTGAGGATTAGGGCATCCGATGTTCCTAAGACAGATTTTTGGACTCGGTAGGGGCATTATGAGTTTCTAGTGATGTCATTTGGGCTGATAAATGCCCCAGCAACATTCATGGATTTGATGAACCGGGTGTTAAAACCCTACTTGGATTCCTTTGTGGTTGTATTTATTGATGATATCTTGATCTACTCCCACAGTTGAGAGGAGCATGAGCAGCACCTTCGGATCATTCTTCAGACTCTGAAAGACAACCAGTTATATGCTAAGTTCTCAAAATGTGAGTTTTGGTTGAGTTTAGTTACTTTCTTGGGTCACGTTGTATCGGTAGAGGGTATTCAGGTGGATCCTAAGAAGATTGGGGCCGTTCAAAACTGGCCTAGACCCACATCAGCTACAGAGATCCGTAGTTTCCTAGGTTTGGCAGACTATTACCGTCGATTTATGGAGGGGTTTTCATCCATAGTAGCCCCGTTGACCAGATTGACCCAGAAGGGTGCCCCGTTCAGGTGGTCAGACGAGTGTGAAGCGAGCTTTCAGAAGCTCAAGACTGCTTTGACTACGGCACCGGTATTGGTGTTACCCATAGGTTCAGGATCTTATACAGTATATTGTGACGCATCCCGTATTAGTCTGGGTGCTGTATTGATGCAGGGTGGCATGGTTATTGTATATGCTTCGCAGCAGCTGAAGGTTCACGAGAAGAATTACCATGTTCATGATCTAGAGCTGGCAGCCATTGTTCATGCGCTGAAGATTTGGAGGCACTATCTTTACGGCGTGCCATGTGAGGTATTTACAGATCATCGGAGCTTGCAGTATTTGTTCAAGCAGAAGGAACTCAATTTGAGGCAGAGAAGGTGGTTGGAGCTATTGAAAGACTATGATATCACCATATTGTATCATCCCGGGAAGGCCAATATGGCGGCCGATGCTTTGAGTGGAAAATCAGCTAGTATGGGTAGCCTTGCATATATTCCAGTTAGTGAGAGACTGCTTGCATTGGATGTTCAGGCCTTGTCCAACCAGTTCGTGAGGTTGGATGTTTCTGAGCCCAGCCGTGTTCTAGCTTGTACAGTTGCTCGGTCCTTTTTGTTTGAGTGCATCAGAGATCGGCAGGATGACGATCCTCATTTACTTGTCCTTAGAGACACAGTGCGGCATGGTGGTGCCAAGCAGGTTATTGTTGGAGATGACGGAGTTTTGAGGATGCAGGGCCGTATTTGTGTGCCTAATATGGATGGATTTTGTGAGTTGATTCTTGAGAAGTCCCACAATTCCCGGTATTCTATTCATCCGGGCACCACTAAGATGTATTAGGACTTGCGACATCATTATTGGTGGAGGAGGATGAAGAAAGACATAGTTGCATATGTAGCTCGGTGTCTAAATTGTCAGCAAGTAAAGTACGAGCATCAGAGACCTGGTGGTTTGCTTCAGAAGATAGAGATTCCTGAGTGGAAGTGGGAGCGTATCACTATGGACTTTGTTGTTGGACTCCCACGGACTCAGAGGAAGTTTGACGCCGTGTGGGTTATTGTGGATAGGCTGACTAAGTCAGCGCACTTCATTCCTATGGCAGTTACCTATTCCTCAGAGCGGTTGGCAGAGATTTATATTCGGGAGATCATCCGTTTTAACGGTGTGCCCGTGTCTATCATTTCTGATCGAGGTACACAGTTTACCTCGCACTTTTGGAGGGCAGTTCAACGTGAGTTGGGTACGCAAGTTGAGTTGAGCACAACATTTCATCCTCAGAGGGACGGGCAATCCGAGCGTACTATTTAGATCTTAGAGGATATGCTCCGCGCTTGTGTTATAGACTTCCGAGGATCGTGGGATCAGTTCTTTCCCCTTACAGAGTTCACCTACAACAACAGCTACCGGTCGAGCATTCAGATGGCTCCCTATGAGGCATTATATGGTAGGCGGTGCCGGTCGCCAGTTGGGNAGTGACTTACATGCTTGCGTTGCCACCTAGTTTAGTAGTTGTTCATCCGATATTCCATGTGTCCATGCTTCGAAAGTGTCACGACAATCCGTCCCATGTGTTAGATTTCAGCTCTGTCTAGTAGGACAAGGATTTGACTTACGAGGAGGAGTCAGTGGCAATTCTAGCCCGGCAAGTTCGCCAGTTGAGATCAAAGTGTTACCCTTCAGTTCGAGTGCAGTGGAGAGGTCAGCCTATTGAGGTAGCTACTTAGGAGTCCGAGTCCGATATGCGGAGTAGATATCCCCACCTTTTCACCAGCCCAGGTACTTTTCTATGTCCGTTCGAGGACGAATGGTTATTTTAAAGGTGGAGAATGTGATGACCCAAAAGGTCATCTTATGTTTTAGAACTCGAATCTGCACTCTTAAGCCTTAAAAATCTCATTTTTACCCTCCTCGATTAGTGTGCGCAGTTCGGGCATGTTTCCGGAAAGCTTTTATGTTGAACATCGATGAAAATAAGAATTTATGACTTAAAAGTTGATTTTAGTTGAATTTGGTCAACATTTTTGGTAAACGGGCTCGGATCCATATTTTGACTGTCCCGGTGGGTCCGTATCGAATTATGGGACAAGGGCATATGCCCGAAATCGAATTCGGAGGTCCCTAGCTCAAGTTATGAAATTTTGATGAAAATTAAAAGTCTGAAAATTTATTTGTTTTTAAGAATTGATTGATGTTTGGCATATTTAGTGCCGGGTCCGTATTCTGGTTCCGGAGCCCGGTACAGGTTCATTATGATATTTAAGACTTGTGTGTGAAATATTTGTGAGAAACAGAGTTGATTTGACGTGATTCAGACGTCGAGTTGAGAAGACATGAATTTTAAAGTGTTCTTCAGAATACTGGATGCGAAGGCTTGGCAGCCAGTACCCTTTGTGAACACGACAGTGGCCTCGAGAACGCGATGCACACTGTCGCCCAGTGCATAAAACAGAATCAAACACGGGTTTAATCCATTTCTTCAATATTTTTCAA